ATTCATTCACTCAAATAGCATTTATTCAGTGCTTGGCACTGTGTTAGGAAACAGAGATGAAAGCCATAGCTTCCCCTTTGAGAAATAAGAGTCTAACATGGAGAACAAATAAATAAACCAACAACTATTACACAGTGTAACTGGTTACTAGGTAAGGATTCTGAGGGAGCTCTCACACATACTGAGATAGGACTGGACAAGATCAGAAAGCTTTCCTGAAGTAGGTGACACTGGAGCTAAATCTCACATGCGGGCTTAACCATGTAGAAAAATGAAGAGAGATCCTGGTAAAGAAGAGTCAATAGGGGCACAGAAGCAATAAAAGATATAGCCCAGTTAGAGAACTCTATGTAGGTCAGTGTGATGACAGATCAGATGTGGCAGTGAGAGTGGGCAATAGGGTGTTAGAGAGACAGGCTCGAGCCAGATCATTGAGGATGTTGGATGTCTCAGCCTAAGCAGAAGAGAACAATCCAGGGAACAGGCATCTCTCTTTCCTGGCCACATATCAGTCTGTTATATAATGCTTTCCATTGCAATTGTATTTATTGAGCTCTTGTTATATGCCTAGAATTTTCCTATTCCCTATGATGAATATATTTTCCATGAAAAGGTTTCAAATGAAGTTATTACATGAGGCCGGCTTTTTGATTCATAAATGTAAAGTTTAGGACACTGTAACTAATAAATTATAAGCATACTCTTCTTCCTTGTATGTTCTATATTATAAAGCAGAGTCTATCTATCGATATATCTATTGAAATAATTGAAATAAATACAAGATCTTCATTGAAACTGGTCAGTCTTTTCAAAATGAAATAGCTGTGAAGTGTTTAGTTCCTGCAGTTCCGTTTTTCCCCCCCTTCAGTTAATTTGCCAAAACATAGACTCTTCAAAGTATAAAAGAAAAACAGGAGCCTTTGAATCACACTGGTATGCAGCTATGGGGTCTTCAAGGTGGACCGAGGGATATGCAGATTGGAAAGAAATGGTCGTCTAACATTGTCATGTGCAGGGAGGAGGCACCTCCTTGCTCGACAGGTGTCTGTGCCTTCCCCTGCTGCCTTGCTTCTGCTTTTGATGTTGGTGGCAGAGCAATCTAGCAGTGGTGCCACTGGACACCACATAGCTGCGAACTGTTCTGCTGGCCTAAAGGGATAGGGAAGTCTCACTCTTGCTGTGAACCTCCCAACATAAAATAGCCTGTGATATTGTTGGACAGTTTTTTTAATTGAAACCTGCTCTACAATAAATACTTTACAGAAATATTAAACAACATTGCATGAACCACAATTTTCAGGCTAGGAATCCATGGCCATAGGAAGCTAAGTAGTGGTCTGCCTTGTTCTGAAGCTGTTGCTTCTTCTCATCGCCCACACTCATAAGGAAAGCTGATCTTCACTGGTCAAGTGGGCCATTCTTTGCTGCATTAATGGCTTTGTGGGTTTTCCTCCTTTAAGTATGCATCTTTGGAGGTATAATTCACAAAATTTAATGTTAACCCTTTAAGAATATAAGTTCAATGGTTTTAGTGTATTTATAAGATTTCTAACCATTACTACGATGTAATCACCCCTCCAAAGAAACTTTATGTTTGTTCATAGCCATTCCAAAATCCCTGCATCCCTGCTGGAAGCCTCTCATTTGTTTCCTGTCTCTATGCATTTATCTATTTCTGGCATTTCATTTGTGGCTTTTTGTGTCTTCTTAGCCTCAAGATTTCATGTTGTAGCATGGACCACGTTGTAACATGGTCCAGTATTTCATTCACTTCTATGGCTAAATAATATTTCCTCTTATGCATATACCACATTTGTGTTAATTGATTCCTCAGTTAATGGATATTTGGGTTTCCAATTTTTTTTTTACTATTTCAATGATGTTGCTATGGCTTTATGAATTTAGGCTGTATCAGGAACCTGTTATCACAAGATGCACTATTGTATCATGATTATCTGCTACTTTGTCTTTTTTTTTTTTTGTATTCTTCAAACTCTAAAAGTGCAAGAAGCATACTTGAGTTATTATCCATTATGTCAGGCACAGTATGTTTGTGTAAGAAACATGTGAATGAATAAATTAAAGAAGGCAGTTCTATAGCTCTAGGTGAGCACTTTGAATTGTTCATCTAGTGTGCCTTGTATCAGCTCGCTGAGGATGATATGCCTCACTATTAAGAGTGTGTGTCTGAGGGTGAGGAATCTGCTCTAGGTTTTCCTGACAATTTTTGTTGTTGGGAGAGTGAAGTTTACACTGATAAAGCAGCCTTAGAATTTGTTTGGTTGAGTAGAATGTTATCATCTATCTAGAAAAGTCAAAGGATTGTTAGATTTGTTTTGACAGCTTATGCTGCGAGCATTTGAAACTTCCATCAATAAGGGAAGTAGATCATGGTCCCAAGTTTGTCTGTTGTCTTTCCAGTTAAATATTCCTGGCTGGACATGTGTCACTGCCTCAATGGGTTCTTCCATTGAGGACCTTGGGAAAATCCATCGGTATTGAATTTACCCCATCCCCACACACACTTCCTTTCTTATCTCTGAACTTATCTTTTGAGTTTAGTGAAAAATTATGCCTCATTTCTAATTCTCTCCTTCAAAGATATGAGGACATAATCAAAACAAAAAATTAGTGTGTTTATTTGTTGTTCCAAGTAAAGCTCTGGATGTTGGAGCCTGCTTTCTTCACAAGTGAACTTGTGCACTTATCCAGATCTGCTTCTTTTCTGGAGTTCAGCAGAACACTTGAGGAATGCTGGACACCGGGGAGGCCTGTAGCAGTAACCCTGCATCTGGCAACTGCTCTGGCAGCCTTGCCCCCCTCACATCTTCCTACTTCTTGTCCTAGTGAGAATGATGGCAAAGGGAGCTGCCAGGTTTCCTGTTTGCACGTCTGTGGGAGGGAAACAAGAGGGCTGGCAGCCATGAACTAAGAGGGCTCCATGCCATCCATCTTTTCTGATCAAAGTAAAGCAGATTCAGGCTGTTGTCTGGGAGCTGTGATGGGAATCATAGCTCAGGGATAATTCCTGGAACATCTTCTAGACTTTGCACCCATTTATACCCTGAAGTAACTCATAGACCGAGGAGATTATGAAGTCTAGAAGTGTTTGTAGTGTGTGCTACACATTTGGATGATAATCTCCATGTACTATTATACAAAAATCAAGTAAAAATTAAAAAAATTACTGTGAAAATATAATAAAGATATCCTTAAAAGTTTAGAACATTTTTGGTGTAGCATCCACTGTCCTCATTTTTTTTATAGTATTGAGAATTGAACCCAGGAAATTTACTCTAAGCTACGTGTCTGGCTATTTTAAAAATTTTAAAATTTTGATAGGGGTCTCACTAAGTCATTAAGTTGCTCAGGTTGGGGTCCAACTTTTGATTCTCCTCCCTCAGCCTCCCAGAGTGGTGGGATTACAGTGGTGCACCACCATGACCAGGCAGCCCTGCTTTCAATTTTCATGTTACTTTATTACTGTTGCTATCTCCCAGTTGGGGGAAAATGGGTTTAACTTCAAAGTAATTGTCATAAAAGACTGTAATGTACAGATTCAGTGAACACATTAATTCACTTAAACTTCTGTCTCCAATTATTGCAATCAATTCCAGGTCCTACTGAAAAGTGCTATGAATATCCTCTTTCACACAAATCCTTGCTATTCCAATCCAACCTAGGGAAGGATTGCGAAGAATCAAGGTAGCAATAACTGGGATAGTAAAATTTCTTTTGGATCTGTGCTTCCATGTTGAAATTTCATCGACCTATTCCCCCCATTACACCAGTATTCTGGCAGAATTCACCAGTTCTTCTGGGAACAAATAAATCTCCATAGTCTCTAACACTAAGCTCTGCTCAGCCACAGGGAATATTAATGGCTGCAGCTTTTTGCAGCTAATTTCATAAGCATGTCACTGCTGCACATATGAGGGCCACTGCTCTACCTGTTGGTGTGGATGATTTTTGGTGCTTTTGGGCCATTTTACAAGCTACTGAAGCAACAGACGTTGTACAAGAAAAGCTTTATGTTTTTACTTTCCATATCATTGTTCAGAAGGCTTCTATTACAACTTTAAAAAATTAAGCTTTCAGGCTAGTCTCCCGTTTTCTTGAAAAATTTGAAATAAACTCCCCAGGGATGTGTGAGAGGATATTTAGAAACATTACATGCTGCTGTGGAAGTAACCTTCTTTACAGATCAGGACCACGGGACAGATACCAGCCACTTTAGCTTTTCAGATGTCAGTGTGAATTCCCTCATCTTTAAAAAATGACTTCATCTTTCATCTTTAGCAATATTGTATAGAACTACTCATCCTAGGGGGAGGAGAACATCTTATAATAGTATAAATAATCTTATAAATAAGATTGTTGTGGTTTTACTTGGAATATTTGCAAGGATAAACTATTATGCTACGGTAATAAACTGCCAAAAATTCAGTGGCTTAAGATAAATGGTTGTTTCTAGTTAATGCCGCATGGATTGATAGAGACTTCATTATTTCATGATTCGTCCATCTCACCATGGATTTGCTGCAGTAGTGGGAGAGATCAGGTGGATGCAGCTTTTAAATTCTTCCATGTAGACACAATAGATGGCATTTCTGTTTACTTTTGCCAGACAATGCGAGTCACATGGCCTCTTCTTTCAAGGAGGACAGAACCAAGAATCCTGGCAAATTCCTGAAGCGAGGGCATAGCAGATTAGCTAGCAGGCTGGTTGGAAAGAAGTCTCAGTGGTTAGGACCAGATCCAGGATAAGCCTAGCATTCTTACAATTGATTTTCTGTGCCTTTATTTATTGTTTCTATCAAAGAAGCATGAGAAAACAAATCAAGAGAAACACAAATTCTATTACAAATGCTTTTGCACTAGTAAAGTGATTTATATATTCATGCTTTATTAAAAGCACAGAATGTCACAGGAGTTGCTAGACTTGTAGGTCGGTGGGTGAGGCCACTGGAATCTGTCTTTTATTTTCTGCTGCAACCCAGGAATTCCTGGAGGGAGTGAGAAACATGAAACACACTCAGAGTCTGCTGGTTCTACTGCCTGGCTCCACTGCCATCCACCTGTGGGAAGGACAGAACTCTGTGGGTTTGCAGTGGCAGTTAGTGAACTTGAAGCAAGTCAAAAGAAGACTGTCCACAGCCTCTTGGTAAGTTGAATAGCTCTCTTTGAGCAAAATCAACAAATAAGAAAAATATAAATTTTAAAATGATACAGAATTCCCAACAATTCTCTCATATTTCTCTAGGGACTTTTATCTTTATACATGATCTCAGCCAGTTCTTAAAAAAATATAATAGTTAATTTCCCCTCCTTGCTTATTCTGTTTTTTCTCTTGGTATTTCCACTGTCTAGCATTCTACATTTTTTACTTATTTTAAGTATGTGTCTTATCCACTACAATTAAACCTTGGTGACAACATTTTTGCTCAATTGTTATATTCTGAGAACTAGAGACAGTGCCCGGCAGAGGTTAGTCTCTTCTCATGCTATGGATGAGCAAGTTTGAACAATCAAGATGCACCACTGTCTGTGCCAGATTCAAGCCTTTTATTATAGCTGTGACTGAGGCGAACTAGTGCCTAGAAGTTTCCCCAGCAATGGGAAGCAGTCTGATTTCTCCTTTTAAATCAGACTTTCTTCAGCTGGGGAGGGCTCGCGGAGAGCAAATGGGATCTTCCCTAAGCATAGCCATACCAGGTTAGCGGGGGGCACAAGGAAGTTTCACACGCACTAGGTAAACTACAAAACATCCTGCAACTGTAGCAAGTTTACTGCCAAGCAGGACGTGGGGGTTTTGGGTGCTTTGTTCAAGTGCAAAGACTTTGTTCTAATGAAGGTAGAAACTGGCATTGAGGCCCAAGATGGATCAGGCTCCTATTATATTCCCAACTGCTCTAAGCATGATTGACTTAATGAGACCTCTTGATTAGGCAGGGGGTTATACAAGGGACTGTAGTATGATCTCATATACATCAGTTTAACATAAGCTATGCGTTGTTTTACAAAGTTGATTATCCAATTAAGAAAACAAGGGCTAATCAAGAGCCTGAGAAAAAGCAGGATGAGGGGACCAGCCAGTCCAATGATGAGGGTAGTTACCCAAGGCCTCCAACCAAACAGATTATGATACTTTGAGTGACATTTGGTTCCTCGCTATAGGATGAAATGTTTACACAGACCCAGTTAGGGAAGTAGAAATCAGTTGGGGACCCAGGGCCCTGCTGTCTAAATGGATTGCATCCTGGACACACATAAAAGTCACGGCTTGCCAGGTTTGTGAACTAATTGTAGTAGATTCCCCATTCCTTTCTAACTAATTTACAGAGATAGACCTTGGGCAGTCTAAGAAGTTGATGGCAGCAGATGGTACCAAAAGTGATATTACCTAGAATTTCTCCTGAGCTAAAGGAGATGAGGAGAAAGGAGTGCAACTCCTTGTTGCATTTTCCCAGAGTTCAGCCTCATCAGCCCAAAGACAATAAGGACAAGTGTCACAATCATGGTTGGACTAGTCTTAGCTTTAAAGAATTAGCAGTCCACTGTTTCGCCCACTTGATGCATAAACCCACACGAGATCGCTTTAACTTTGAGGGCTGAGGGCATCGTGAGGATGACTGTATAGGGTCCCTTCCAGGATGGAGTCAGTTCTTCACTCCAAAATACCTTGATGAAGACAGTGTCCCCGGGCTGGAATGGGTGGCACAGTGTAAAGATGGGTAGGGGCTTGCACCTGGGACTGAACAGTTTTCTCTACCTGTTGGAGAGACTGAAGATACTTTAACAGGGAAAATTAGAAAAAATTAGAAAATCCTTCTAATACCTCACTTTTAAACTTAGGGAGCAGGGGAGGGGGTCTCCCAAACATAACTTCATAAGGAGTAAAACTTGCTTTATAAGGGGTGCATCTAACTCTAAGGACAGCCAAAGGCAACAGGCTAACCCATCCTTCACCAGTTTCCAACATCGATTCATTCAGTCAGAGTAGATTTTAGGGTCCAATTCATCTGTTCCACTTGGCCCAAGCTTTGCGGTTAGTAGGCACAGTGGTTTCCACTTTATATCCAGTGCCCTACTGACTCACTGAGTTATAGTGGTTACAAAGGCAGGGCCATTGTCAGATCCAATGGGCATTGGTGGTCCAAATCTGGGAATTAATTCCTGAAGAAATTTCTTTGCCACCACATTGGCAGTCTCTTGCTGAATAGCATAGATCTCTGTCCATCTTGAGAAGGTATGTATGAAAACCAGAAGGTAGCAATAGCCACCCACTGGTATTTGATCTCTGTGAAGTCCACTTTCCAGTTTTCCCCAGGATTTCTACCCCAGAATCTGACCCCAAGGCATGTAGATGGGCCTTGGCAGTGATTTACTTGTACACAGCTTGGACACCTAAGAGAGGCCTAGTGGGCCAGCTCTTACATCTTTGTAAAAGAGTATATTGGAGCTAGAGGCTTGGCCATCTTGGAGCCCCCAGGTTTGCATGACTGAATGCAGCTGCTGGATGAGTTGCAATCCTAGTGCCTGGGGGAGGTAGAGCGACCATCTGGACATTTCCACCAGCCTTGGGGGTCTTTCTTTGCTTGCAGCTGGCTTGCTTCTTTGTCTTCCTCTTCATTGTAAGTTGGCCTAGTCAAGGAGAAAAGGTGGAGGAGGACTCCCGATAGGCAGGATGACTATGAGTTCAGCTGGCCTCAGGGCTGCCTCTCTGGCTGCATGGTCTGCAAGTTGATTTCCCTTAGCCTCAAGTGTATTGTCCTTTTGGTGACCCTGAACATGAATGACAGCCACCTTCTTGGAAAGTCATACCACCTCTAGGAGAGACAATCTCTTCTTTATTTTGATAGTCCTTCTTGTAGCTGTCAGAAGCCCTCTCTCCTTGTAGATGCACACATGGACATATAGAGTAGCAAAGGCATACCTACAGTCAGTGTACACACTTATCTTTTTCTCCTTTCCCCATCTCAAGGCCTGGGTAAGGCTATCAGTTCTGCCTTTTGGGCTGAGGTTCCCTCAGGCAGAGGCTGGGCCCAATGACTTGATCAACTGTAGTCACCATAGCTCCTGTCCTCCACACCCCACCTACCCCTGTGCTGCTTCCATCTGTGAAGACGATGGCATCTGCCTCAGCCAAGAGGATGTCTGTTAAGTCCAATTGGCCCCCCTCAGTCTGGTCCAGGACCACCTCACAGTTGTGAATTGGAATGTCAGGGTCATTATCTGGCAGCAGCATAGCCAGATTGAGAACCTGTCCTGCTGAGAAGACTGTGTGAGGCTGGTTGAGCATTAGGCTTTGATACTGAGTGAGGCAGGCATTTGACATCCATTTGTTAGTGGCCCCCCCTTAGCAGAGTCTCTACTGAGTGAGGGGCAGTGAGGACTAGGTCCTGTCTGTGGGTCATTATCAGCCTCCTTGACCAATAAAGCTGTGGCAGTTACCACCCAAAGACATAAAGGCCATCCTGTGGCCACAGGGTCTAATCTTTTAGAGAGATAGGGAACAGGGCACTTCCAGGGTACCAAGGACTGCATTAGGACTCCCTTAGCAGTCCCTCTTACCTTATGGATGAATAGATGAAAAGGCTTAGTAACATCAGGTAGTCACAGAGCTGGAGCTGATGCCAAAGCTCTTTTAAGAGTCTAGAAGGTTTCTCCTTCATCTATTCCCAATTCCAGGGGTTGATTTCCACCCATGACAGAATGGAGGGGCTGCACTATCTCATCAAACCCAGGTACCCATAGATGACAGTATCCAGCTGCACCTAGGAATTCTGTACCTGTTTCTTGGTAGTTGGTGTGGGTATCTGGAGGATGACCTTTTTCCTGGCCTGGAACAAGGCTCTTTTTCCTTCTGAGATTTCATACCCCAGGTATGATACTTTAGAGGCACAAAGCTAGGCCTTCTTGGCTAAGACATGGTAGCCCAACTCCTTTAGTAGCTGAAGAAGCTCTCGCGTCCCCTACAGGCATTTTGAATAGCTAGTAGGAGCTAATAACAAATCATCCACATATTCAAGCAAAGTGAGGTTAGGGTGAGGTTAAAGACTCACCAAGTCCTACTGGAGGGCCTCACTGAACAGAGTGGGTGCACTTTTTAATTCTTGAGGCTGGGTTCAGGTGAGCTCTCAGGAGTCACTGGAAATTGGATCAGTCCACTCAAAAGTGAAGATAGTCGGGCTAGCTGGGACCAGGGGCACCCTGAAAAGGGCATCCTTTAAATCTAGCACAGTATGCACTTGGTGCTCAGGAGACAGCAAACTCAGGAGAGTATATGGGTTGGGGACAGTAGGATGCAGAGTTACCACTCGCTGGTTAACTTCTCCCAAGTCCTGAACAGGCCTGTAATCTGATGTGCCCGGGGTTTCTGTACTGGGAGGAATGGGGTGTTCCATGGACACTGGCAGGGACTTAAGATCCCAAAGTACATCAATCTCTTCATGTGAGGGGCTATCCCTAGTCTGGCCTTCTGAGAGATGGGGTATTGTTGAAAGTGCAAGGTGTGGTGGTTGACAAGAGCTCAACTATCACTGGAGCATGATGCGCAGCCAAGCCTGGGGGGTCACTTTCTGCCCACACCTTTGAGAACTCTGAATATGTCCAATAAGCCTCTGGGGCTTATTTCCTCTAGGTTTCCCTCCCCCAAGAGGAGATACTCTTCAGAAAGGGCAGTGGTCAAACACAGTTGGTATGATAGGAGTAACATCTGAGCCTCAGTTGGAGTAAATGAAATGGTGGCCTTTAGTTTATGAAGGAGGTCTTTCCCCAGCAAGGGGAAGGGGCAGTCTGGAACTACCAGAAAAGAGTAACTTGTTTTGATCCCAGACTCACCAGTTGCTCATTTGTGAGTGGGCAGTTTTGGACTATTCCTGTGCCCCCTGGATGGGAACAGTTTGTGATGAAAGCTTTCCCAGGGAAGTTTTTAACACTGACCTCTCAGCTCCAGTGTCACCAGGAAATGGGCCTGTTGACCCCATACTTCAGTATTTACTATGCTGTCCTGGGGACCGAGAGAGAAGGACCCCTGGCCTCCTCAGTCTGAATCTTCTTTTCCCCCAGACATAGGGAGAGATAGTACCTTAGCAGAGTGTCTGTAGGGGCATTCATGTTTCCAGTGCCCTTCCTCCTTGCAAAAGGCACATTGATTTCTGTCCAATGGAAGAGGTCCTCCTGGCTTTCTAGGCATCTGCCCATTGGGCTTCCTGGGGTTGGGTCCCGTAGGGCCTCCTCTGACGGCTGTTGCCAAGATTTTGGCTTGTTTCTTTGCTGATTATTTAGCCATAAGTAACATAAGCCAAATTTATAGTTCTACTCTCTGGTTCTGAGGGTTCCAAAGGGGTGTAAACCTGGGAGGCCTCTCTGAGTCTCTCCAGGAATGCAGCGGGGGGACTCCTCTGGTCCCTGTGTCACTTCAGTGGTTTTTGACAGATTTATAGGTTTGCAACCTGCTGCTCGAGTCACGTTTAACAAATTTTGCTTCCTCCCTGAAAAATTTTGATCCCTTTCACGTTGCTCTGAGGGAAACCCTTGCTTGAGCATTTTGTGGGACTCCTTTTCTGAGCTCTCTAGCTTCAAACATAATCCTTTCCCACTCCTCAGTGGTGAACAGGGTCAATGACAACTGCTGACAGTCATCCCAGGTCAGTACATGAGTCCTAAAGTTCGACTCTATCAGGGAAATCGGTCTCTGGGGCTTCTCAGAGAATGGTGGCTTTTCGGTTTTCCAATTGTAGAGGTCAGAAGTGGGAAAGGGACCATATACTGGGAATGGAAAGGTTCCTGGACCTGCCTCACTGGGAAGAGGGGCCTCCCTCAAGGGCAAGAGAATCTCTGGACTCCATCTTCCAGAGCTGGTGACCTCCTGCTGGGATCAGAGACACCTTCATATTGGGCGAGAGGTAGCAGGGGAAGAAGAGGAAGAAACAAGGGAGTCAAGGGCAGATGGGTCAGGATGGACAGGAGGGGGTGGTGAACTAGGGTTATACAGAGGTGGATGAGGGAGGATTTCCTCAGCATCTGACTGCTGCAGAACCAGTTTCTGTCTCTCTGGATGCCACCTATGAGGTGGAGAATAACTTTTGGAAAAAAGCAGCTTTGAATAGTCTTTTGCAGCACAGGCCTTTAGTCCTGGAGGAGTGTGCTGCACTAGGGTAAACCAGGAATTAATGTAAAGGAATTGATCAAGGTATCCTGGTGACCCAGTAACAGCCTTCCAAACTGCTTGAACCAAGGCAGGTCTATGGAGCCCTCAGCGGGCCAGCCCACACCAAAAGAGGGCCATTCAAGCTCACAAAAAGTCTGGAGTTTGTCTTTTGACAATTTCACTCCATAATCATCAGAACATCCTCAGGAAAAAATTTTAACCATGCAGACCAGAGGTGTAACAGTTTGTGAAGAGGACGACCAGATGGCAGAGAGACTTTGGTCAGGAGGGGGAAAGCCAAGAACAGGAGCCACATAAACAAATAAGAAAAGAAGACAAAGCAGTGTGAAAGACAGAATGTCAGAAGAGTCACTGATTAGAGGGGCTGGCAGCATATTGACTGGGGATTAAAGGGAGGGACCAGGACCCCTGTATCAATGTCAGTCTCCTCCAACCAGAGCTAAAAGAACAAATGAAAAGAGAAGATGTACAGACATTAAAAAAAAAAAGGCTTAGTGTTTATGTGGTGCACCCTTGAACGATGTTATGACAGACAAAGGAGCGGGTGTTCCTCTGTATGAGGAACCGCTCAGTTGGTCAACTGGCCATGGGCTTCTCAGCCACTTTAAGGACCATCCAGGCTTTCGGGTGCATTTGTCTCACAGCAAAAGCACCCGCTTGGTCTTTCTTAGACACGTCCGGGGAACCTCAGTATGATCCCAAACAAGTCCCGTAATTCTGACGGGGAGTCCCCCTCTTTGTCAGGGGACACGGATGGAGCAGGCTGTTGCTTGCACTGACTGTTGCCAGTCGTTCATTCACTCACTCATGCATCAATCATCCAGAGGTTAGAGACTTTCCAGCCCTAACCGTTTCCCCAGGGATTTACCAGATTGTCTGGATTACAGCCAAACCAGACCAGACCAGACCAGACCAGAGGGCCACCTCAGTCAGCGTCCGGACATTATGGAGGGGACCAGGGAGCACCTTCGTCAAGGACTACTGTTCTCACCAGAACCAGAAGGATCCTTCCCAGACCAGATGGGCTTCAGAAAGTTTGAAGGGCATCTCAGGCATCTCTGCAGTCCCTTCAGTGTTGGAAGTGAGACTGTGGGGCCCTGGAACATCTCAGGGGCGCCTCCTCTATAGTTTGCTGCCAAAGATGGGAGGGATCGCAGGGAGGCCAGTCCACCCAGTGTGGCTTCTCACACATAAATATCCCCACTGTGTCCCTGAATGTGTAATAAGCAAGTGTAATAAATATTTTAAATATGGTTTTAACTTATGAGAGAAAATTTCATGGGAATAATAGAGTATATTGCTAATTCTTAACCCTACTGGCAAACCTTATGACCCATAGGATCCATATATACAGCATTCAGGATGCAGATATCTTATAACTGATTAAAGTAAGTTAATGACTCACATTAAACTCTCAAGTCTAAGTCTATATTTCAAGCTCTTTTTTTGTCTATATGTTCTTAGTATTGGGTTTCTGATGTTCTTTATTCTTTGGGGTGAGGTCAGGTTGAAAGCACTGTATTTAAGAGACACTTAAATATATTATTGAAAGAATGAAGCAGTTAAAAGTTTCACTTTCAGAGATATTGTAAGTGCTAATACTAGATTTAATGTTTCAGATTTAATTTCTTTTCTGGGTCTAGTAGTTAATCTTACAGGTCTGTATCACACAGTAATACCTCGGTTCAGGAACAATTGTGTTTGCAAACATTTTGGTTCACAAACAAAAGTGTTCAGCAAAATTGTGTTTCCTTTCAAAAACTTCACATCAGGTGTACAACACAAACATAGCCATCTTCCTAAAGCACACACAACCATAGCCATCTTCCCCCACGTTGTAAACCAAATTAGGTTTGTAAACTGAGGTACCACCATACTTTGATTGTATAAAACTCTCTTGTTACTCTATAGGCTACAACAATGTATTTGTTTGCCTTTTAAACCCATTGCAATAACTTTTGCTGAAATATTAACACATTAGTAAAACAAGAAGAATAGACTCTAGGGTGAGAAGGCTGGAGACCAGTTCGTGGTGAAAGTATAACTGAGTGTAAGATACAGGTTGTACAGGAATGATGCAAATGGAAGGGATCCAGTTCTGTAAATGTTTTGCCAATTGGTGTCTGAAGGCTGGATTGGACTTGTCTAGTACGTAGGAACATGCTTCAACACCCTCCCTGCTTTCCATGCCAACTACTCTAGATGCTCTGTTCTGTGCGCCTCTCCTGAGAAATCCTTTTCTCTTTTCTTGTACTGTCCCCTTGCAACTCCTGCCTGAACCAGCAGCGGCAGTTACTTACCAAAGGGTTTGAAATCTGTTTGCATCTTCAGCCTTTGCTACCTGAATTGTTTGATACAAATGTTTGTCCTTTCTTTTCTAATCTGTTTAACAAGTTTCTAAGACATAGAGTACACTGTTTTCTGTCATGATCAGTGTTATTTATATAAATTTGTAACTTTTAAAAACTACATAGGCCATTTTCCTGATGAAAGCAGGGGTTAGCAAGATTTCTCTGTGAAGTCAGAAAGCAAATGCTTCACAGTCTCTGTTCACCTCTTTACTGAAACAGCAGTGGAGTGATAGCCAATAGCAAAGGAAACGGCCTGGTAGTGTTCCAGCGAAGGGCATTCCAATCTAGTCCTCGGTTTGCTGACTGTTCTAAATAGATCACTATGTATTTTATTATTTCTATTCTGAGGTACAAAGATTTCATATTCTATTTTAATAATCCTCTCTGCTATTAGAGATACCACCTCTGCTTGTTTTCCTGCCACCAAACCAAAACCTCAACAGAGATAGTCAATAAATGCAGTGTGGTGGTCCTTTCTAAATCACAAATTTTAAACGTTTTCTTAATTTTGTTATGATTATAACTTCTTGGCTCTCCTTCAACTATGAATTCATTAATTCAGCACACATTTATAGTAATTTTTCTAGGTACTAAACACTGTGCTCAGTACTGAGGTTCATGTGACCGGGTATCCACTGTGGGAAAGGATTTGAGCAGGGGTGATTTTTGGAGAGAGGTAGAGGATGAAATCATTAGGACCTGGAGGTGGGTGTAATATGGACATGAGGGAGAAGAGCTCCAGGATGACTCTTGCTTTGGAGTTGACAGAGGCTACAGTGTCTTCATCTTTTGATGAGGAATGATGGAAGAGGAAAGGTTGGTGGAATTAAAAATTTGATGCTGTGTGAATGGATTTTGAGCTTCTTTGAGGTCTTCTTTTCTAGCAGGCTTTTACTTACTTATCTATGTTGTTAATGCATATGCGTGTGTCTGTGCATACAATCTGACATTACATATATTTAATAAAATGTATAAAATTTGAGCTATTCCTCATGAGACTGTCACAGTAAACTATCATAATCTTGACCCACTTACTTCACATGGAAATTCTGGTAAGAGATAGGATAGTTGTCCCTACACCATTTTGTGCAAAAAGAAAGACCTAAGCCATCAAACATTGAGTATTATTATAATTAATCTATGCTGTAGGTACCAATGTTACTTCTCTTATGCTGATACATATAGGGAGGCGTAAGAGAAAGTTTAATTAATTTGCTGATCCTCCAAGCTGGGACTGGAACCCAGCCAGCATTTTCTTCTTCCTGAGTTGTACTGATAGGTCTGTAAACAACTTGATTGTAATTTCTCATGTTAAATGACCCTTCATCTGGGATATCTTCCCAAAACACTCTCTCCAACACTTACAAAGTGTAGCTTAGATGTCTCCTCCTATGAATACCACACATTTCATGGTTCTTTCCTCATAACACTTGCTGATTCCCTTTTAATAACGTATGCTACATGATGGCAAAGGTTTATTTTTATCTTATCTTCATTTTCTATGGTAATGTCAAGCACAACCAGTGTTCAGTACAACTTTTCTGAATTAAGAATTAATCTCCTCACTCAAGGACTGTTAAACTGATGTCTTATTTTACCTTCTTTTCTGGGGTTACTTTGCTATAGTAATCTTGATTTTTGACTAATATGAATGCAAACCAAGCCAAGAAAAAGAAACAAGACATAATAAAACAAAACATTCAGTAATGAATCTCAAGTTCACAGAAATTTGCTGGATAACTGTTTTGGTATAGTTAGTCCTTTATCTAAAGAAAGTGAGCTCCTGGGCAGAAGAATGCAAATGAAAGAAAGTTGCTGGATTCAACTTCTGGGATTGCCTGAGGCTGAGCCCCTTGAGAAAAAGAGGCATTTGACAATTAGCTTTCAAGTCTTTTCCACTGCTTTTAAACTGATGATTTTAAATTTCCAACTACTGTGGCCCTTTTCCTGTATTATATACTTAGATTGATTGATCATTAAAATTTTGCAGCTATAGATTTTATTATTTACATATGGGGAAGTTGAAAGCCACAGGTATCAGGTGACTTGCCCAAAGACACAGAGCTGCTACATGGTAAGCCTAAGTGTCTCAGACTTAAGAGACCAACTTAAATTAATCTCAACTGTTATAGGTAAAATGAAGTTCTAGTGAGTCCCGAAAAGCCACTTGTGCCAAATCTCAGGTAGGGAAAATGTAGTGATAAGAATGGATCTCAGACAAATGTCACGCTCCGTGCTGCTCTTTTAGTCATTTGCCACCTAAAGAGATTGATAATAATGGGGGTGGGAAGGACAAAACAGGAAAAAGGTGAAATATTCTTTTGCAGTAGTATCTGTGGTATTCTGTGCTATTATTCCCTTCTCAATATAAATTCACTGACTTAACTAATGGTTATGCTACAGGGCAAGACCTCATAAAAAGTCACCCTTTTGTTTTGCTTCTTGGAAATCTAGTTGTTATGGAATGTGTCTTTATGTTCCCCCAAAGCCTCATGCAGTCATAGGTGGGGCTTTTTCGAGAATTGATTCATGGTGTGATGCTAGGTTTAAGAGAAATAGGATCCAGAGCATGAGTGCTACCTGCTTTAAGTAGTCTGTGTAAGATAAAAGGGGCAGAAAGAAGCTATTGAGAGCTCCTTCCTTCTCTTGTTGCTTTTGCTGTCTTCTGCTGCCATGAACTGTTGCTCCTTTGCCACCCTGCCTTGGAGCCAGCTGATTATGGACTGAAACCTCTAAGAACTGTAAGCCAAGTCAGCCTTTTCCCTTTTAACTTTGGGAGTCAGGTATTTTGTCTCGGCAGTGAGAGAAAGGTAACTAAGATACTAGTTTTTTTTTGTTTGTTTGTTTGTTTGTTTTGTTTTGTTTTACACAACTTGTCCTCAATGTAAGGCTGATGAGTTAGAGATGGATGGACGCTTACTTTCTCCAAACTCTGCCAGTCTGGAATACTGGAATGCCTGGAAAACCTTAGAATCCTATGACTGGAGAGGGGCCTCATAGAAAATGTGTATAAGAAGTAGCAGAGCATATCATACTCTGAAATGCTTCCTTGTATGACTCTTTCCATGTGGATCAAAAAATGACAGGGTAGCTAAGATTACCTACCATGTTCTAAATGATATTGGTTTGGAGCTTAGGAAACTTGGCATGCCCCTTATAGTAATGAACTATTATTAAAAAGAAAGAAAAGGAAAAAAGAAAGAGAAAAAGGAAGAATAGAGCAACAGAAAAGCTAAATTATCATTTATCTTTAGCATTTCAACTTCTGTTTAATAGCTCAGACACTAACAGGTGTTTGAAGGGACCCGAAAAGTACATTAAGTTTAACAAAATTTCTACCTCTTTTCTTCATATTGTGTTTTTTTTTTTTAAATCTTTGCTGTTTTGTGCAGCTCCTAACATATCTGCTGTGGAAGTCAACTGGCAGCCTAGGAAATTTTAAGATCAACTGAAACTTTGTTCTGCAAATTGTGGAGGTCTGATGTTTCCCCCCAAATTTTTCATATCCACTGTTTATACTTTGATTTTCACATTAAGTCTCCATTTCCTGACATGACTGAGTATGTATTCTCCTCGTAAACCCTTACAACACCTGAGCAAGAATCACTCATAGCAGTTGCTAACAGAAGGCTGGTGCACACAGCACAGCTTTCTTTGAGTGTGTGTGATGGGACTTGTCATGCAGTGCACTGCTGACCGCTTGCAGTCTGTGCTGTCATCAACAGAGATTTTGTCTCCTCCAGGTGCTTTTCTACCATCTTGTAAGTCTTTCTTTTT